CAAGTTGAGTAGTGCTGTTTTGACTACAGATCCAGAATCAAACCTTTACATGTGTGGCTTTGGTCCTGGGGGTAGATTAGGGATGGGAGATGAAACCACTCGCTTTAATTATGTGCCAGTGAACCAGGGTAGTTTAGCAGGAAAGAAAGTCTCAACCGTTGCTCTCGGTCAGAACCATACCCTTGCTGTATCATCTGAAGGAGAGATTTTCAGTTGGGGCACAAACACTTGGGGCCAATTGGGTTACAATCTACCTCGCCCTGCACTAAAGGATGAAGAACCCTTTTGCACTACTCCGCGCCAGATTTTTGGACCTCTGAAAAGAGAAACCATTGTCGGTATAGCTGCATCTGCTATTCATTCAGTGGCTCATACATCTAGCTCACTGTTCTGTTGGGGAAAGAATGAAGGACAACTAGGCCTCATGGATTCTGATTCTCGATCCTTGGAGGCTCAACCAGTACCCCGTAGAGTTGCGGCATCCCTATTCAAGTCACCGATCGTTAAAGTTTCAGCTATCAATAGTGCAACAATATGCCTTCTGGAAAACCACACAGTCTGTATTTTCACGAATTATGGTTATAACATGGTCAAATTCCCGTTACATGAAAGCTTCACAAACTACTATCTTCAAAACACTTCATTCACAACCCGATATGACAACGAGTCGAACAATATCACCAACATTGAGTCTGGTGGAGACACAATTGCGGCCATTTCTGGTAGAGGAGATTTATACACCTTGAATGTAAGGAAGGTTGATACGAAGGTTGCGGCAGCTTCAACAACCAACCCCTCAAAGATCAAGGAAGCTCTATCACAACCGCAGCGAGTCTGGTCACTCCGCAAGGGTAACTGGGATGGAATCAAATCTGTTGGTGTTGCCGAAAATGGATCCGTCATAGTTTGCACTCAGGCTGGTGCCGTGTGGCGACGTGTCAAAAGAGCTAAGAACAAGGATTCTTTCACTGGGAATAGTGATTATGATCGCAAGGATTTCAAATTTCAGCGGGTTCCTGGACTTACCAAAGTAGTTGCTGTCAGAAGTAATCCTTTTGGTGTGTTTGCGGCGATCCGTAAGGATTGTGACGTGACTAGGACCCAAGTGAGAATTGAAGATGAGACATTGTTGGAAGATCTTGAACCATTGTCAAGCATAAAAGATCTCGTGGCTTCAGAGTATCCAGCAGAACAGCATGCAAAATGGAAGGATCGCTTCGACAATTTGGCATCCGAATATGGTTCTGTTATGGCAGCAGTCATTACGTCTCCGGACCTTGAGGGGGACGTCGAACGCTTGTTAATGGGTCAGAATTTTGATAGCGGCTATGATATTGAGGTCTGTACCAGCACATCTGACATCGCAGTACCTGTCCATGGCTTCTTGGTTGCAGGTAGATCTTCTGTCCTAAGATCACTTCTAGCCGAGTTCCGTCACAGTGGAACCGCTTCGCTCCCCGATCGTTCTAAATCAGAACCTGATATTCTCAACATTCAGAAAGGTGCAAGTGGTAGGATGAAGATCACTTTCAATGGCCTGGATTTTATCACTCTCGTCAACATTGTTATCTTTCTTTACCAGGATGAAGTTGCTGATGTTTGGAACTTTGCAAATTACTACCCACACTTGGCTTTCAGGTATAGAAAGGTTAGGGGTCAACTCATGGAACTTGGTTCCTATTTGAATATGGAATATTTGAATGGGCCTGGGCTTCATAGACGGCCCTCAGATTCAATAAACACTGACATGGACAATGCAATTAAAGACGAAAAATTCTTTGATGGTTGTGATGCTCTTGTTGAGTTGGATGGAGGAGAAATTCCTATTCACAGTGCGCTTGCATGCCAACGATGTCCTTTCTTTGATGGTCTATTCAATGGTCGGTCTGGGGGTCAATGGCTTGCTGGTAGACGTGCGGAAAATACGGGTCCGATCAGGATCGATTTGAAGCATATTGCACCAGAAACCTTCGAGGTCGTATTACGCTATCTATATGTTGATATAGGGCCTGAGCTTTTCGACCACATAGTCTCCACAGACATTGATGAGTTCTCAGAACTTATCTTGGATGTCATGAGTATTGCAAACGAGTTGATGATCGATAGATTATCCCAAATTTGTCAGCACGTTCTGGGCCGCTTCGGTATGTTCTTTCCGCACCTCACGCCTCACAGATTCTTTTACAAGTAATACTAACATCCTCAAAGTTACTACCCGCAATGTGTGCAATATTGTCAATGCTATAGCACCTTGCTCAATAATCGAGCTTAAACATGCTGGCCTTGAGTATATGTGTTTGCAGCTGGAATCAATGCTTGAAAACCAGTAAGTCTATTCTCAGAATTCTGATGAGCTGGAATATATCAGTATTTGGTTACGTACATTACTAACTTTAAGTAGCCTACTTGATGATCTTGACGAGGAGCTTGTTCTTGAATTGGATGAAGTCGTACGCGATAATCAATTACATTGTCTGCCATTTGCAAAAAGTGGCCGAGCTGATCTAGACTTACACGAGAAGTATCCGGAATTAGCAGAGGATATAGATGAGGAAAGGCGTCGCAGGCTTGGAGATATGATGTTTCGTGCTCATCTTAAAGATGAGGATAGTCGATTATCTTCGTCCTTTAAGATGCGTATGGGGAGTATTGATGATAATTTGTCCTCTCCCAGTAATGAGAAAGCCAGGAGAAGATCCAGGGTGGCGAAGAACGAGCCATTTAGCCCAAGTATACGCCCCAAGGATGTGGCGGCCGACTTTATGTTTGATATGGATGACGACGAACTGCCTGGAAGTCCACCTGACTTGAACTTGACTATTGATTTGACTTCTGCTTCTCCTGGTGGTCCGGCTACTCCAAGGTTTCCTACATCCAGCTCAACACCCAAGATTGTAGAGTCAGGGTCTCCTACGGACCTACCAAGTTCTGTTGGTTTGGGAATCAAATACGCTCCTGACACACCTCAATCAGCAACTAAAACATGGTCTTCCCCCAATCTTTCACTAAAGCTCGATATGAAAGAAATCATGGCCCAGGCATCAACAAGTCGTACTTCCAATTTATCCTTGAGCCTCTCTGCCCAAAAAGCCAAGGATGAAGAAGCAACTGCTAAGTCGGCAACCCCAAGACTCTCACAGAAGGAACGCAAGAAACAACAGGCAGCATTTCAACAAGCTGTACAGACTCCCGTGAGTAAAGGCAAGGAAAAAGCATCGTCCCCTTGGCAAGTTGCGGGTGTCGGTTCGAGAACAAATCTTAAGGAGATCCTTGATAAAGAGAATAAATCTTCGCCAGTGTCTCTAGCGCCCTTGTCAACGATTTCACCAGCGATTTCACCAGCAAATACTCCCTCGACTACACGCCGAGTTGCATCTCCAGATACTAGATTCGCCGGGCAAAAAAGGAATGATAGCAGTAGTGTCACAAAAGCACAAATACCATCACCCGGTCCATCAAAACAAACAATACCATCATCTAGATCTACTCCGCTCATCCCTCATTCTAAATCATATAAAGCGCCAGCATCCAAGGCAGAGCCCTCTCTGCAATTATCAATGGCCGATATCATTGGAATGCAACAGAGAGAACAAGAAGTAATCAAAGAAGCAGTGGCAAAGAGAAGTCTTCAGGAAATCCAAGAGGAGCAGAAATTTCAGGAGTGGTGGGATCAGGAAAGTAAGAGAGCAATTGAAGAAGAAGCACAGAGGATGAAGGCTTTCAGCAGTGGGGTTGGGCGAGGTGGTGCAAAGAGTGGTAGCGGGAGAGGAAAGGGTGGGACGAGAGGTAGAGGAGGTAGGGGGAGAGGTGGTGGAGGTGGTGGGGGCGGTGGAGAATCTGTGAGGGGTGGGAGTGGAGGAGAACCCGTTAAAGGTGGAGGCGGTGGAAGCGGAAGCGGAAGACGGGGAAGGGGGAGACCACAGGAGAAAACTAACACTGCGAAATAATCTGGTACTCTTCGTTTCGTTGTATTTTAATAAAATTTTGCGCACGAGAACTTAGGCATGGGCTCAAGACAAGCTTCATAGCACAGCAGGCATAGAATTAGCTACGTACATACACATTTGTACTTGGATCATGAACGAAATGAGAAGTCCATTACATTAGATAAATATTCATATCAACATGAAAGTTTGAAATAAAGAACAGAAATAGAAAATAGAGACTTATATTCACTTCAAGCTCTTGCTATTTATTTTATGTATATCTAAAATTATTCCTATTGTGTTGGGTATGTGAAATGAATACATTGATTGCTTTCGCTAAAGTATTTGCTATGAAAAATTTCTATCTCTTAATGGAGGGATAGGATGAGAAGAAGTGGAAGGGCGGATAGCGGTGTGAGGTTTGATTTGCTGATGAAATGGGAATTTGTAGGTTATTAACCAGGGGAAATCTATGTATTGATATGAGGGGAAACCTGCATCTGAAGTTGAAACTCAGAAGAAGGCTTATTAGGTGGTAGGAGAGTATTTATGGCTTAGGATCTTTCTTTTGAGAGGGTTTGGGTTTCTTGAATTGTGAGGAGAGAATATAAAAAAGGAAGGAATCGAGTCATTATGAGGATTGAAGACCCATGAGGAACCCAATTTGAGGGTTTTAAAGTCTGGAGTTACGGTATTGGGGATGAAATCGTGGATAGGAAGGGGATAGAGAATGGGAGGTTTGGTTTTGGGTTTTATATGTTGAGTGGGGGCAGAGATGGGGCTGTTTGAATTATGAGACCATTTGGTACTTGGTGGATATACCATGTGTGTGTACTTAGTAGCTAGGGGGGGCAGAAGGAGAGGGCGAAAGAATGTTACGCACTTTGGAGGGTACGATGAATGATTGGATCGCGGATTAATTCGTAGTCTTTGATAATTATGCAATTTATATACACTTTGGGTATCTCAAAATGTAGACAGACGCTGGGCTGAGCATTGACATGAGGGCCATCATCCCTCATCGCTAGAAAGACATGATATATAACTCCCCCACTCTCCCCTTCCTCCCCCCATCTACTCCACCCCATCCCCTTTCCAAAATGTCCTCCTCCCCCTCTCCCTCACTACCCCAAACAAATCACACTCCTCCACCATCTCCAACAATTCCTCCACAAATCCCGCCTTATTCTCCTCCTCCCTATACCTCAACATCGCACCATATCTCTCCTCAAGCGCTTCTTCCAACTCTCGCTCGTATTCTGCGCCTTCTGCTCTCGCTTGCATACGTTTCTGTGCGATGACTTGTTTCCAAATCTTGATGATGTTGAGCGGGATATACGTGGTCATTTCTTTGTCTGATATGTCTTCCCAGTATTTCTCGAATCCCTGGGTGAGGGATAGGGTGGGTGGGTTGGAGGAAGTAGGTAGTGGGTGGTTTAGGGAAGCGAGGAGTTGTGGTCGTGAGAATGAGAATGAGGGAGCAGTGCTCTGAGAGGGTACCTGGGGTAATTCGTTTCCCCAGATCCATTCACTAGGGCGTTGAGGTGGTGGGAGGGTGTTGGTATTGGTACTGGTATCTAGTGTTGCTGCTTTCTTTCTTCTCTCAGATGGTTTTGGCCAACGCCATTTTCGAATGGGTGCTGGTGCTGGTAGAGCAGTCGATTCAATGTTGTCAGATTGATGTTGTTGGGCTATCGTGCCCGAGTTGATTATGCTCCCTGGTGAATGTTTGTTTCTGCCGGGGCTGGAGATCGAGAGGTGTTCGATCTCGGTGGTTATGTTAGACATTGAGGGTGATTTTATGCTTGTGCCAATGTTGTAAATTGCGGATTGGGAAATGTGTGTATCGGTGCTGGATATTGAGAGTAGGTGGATGTTTGCGTCGACATTGATGATTGACAGTGGGTAAATATTTGTGTAAAGCCGAAGGTATTCGAATATATGTATTGATCTCAAGAATTGAAAGACGTCAAATGTTGGTATATTTATCAAATATTAAAAATTATAGTATTATATCGTGTGTGTCCCCTCAACTAATGGTAAGTATCCGATGCCCAAATCTATCATACAGAATGAATAAAAAGATGAAGATGAAAAAGTAATCCGAGACAAAATTTACATATCTATCATGACGAAATATCCATCCAAAAAATTATTGTGCGGCCGTTAGCCTTCAAATCCAAAGTTTTATTCTTAGTCCCCGAGTCAGTCGATCGAGGCCATCCGGTTTTGCAACCAAACCTCTTTTGAACTTGAGTGGCTTCACCCCACCTACCCCAGATTCTCAAAATTGGGGCATGGGCCTCGCTGAGTTTGTTTTAGACCAATGATATGGGGCGCAAGTGATAGATTTACTGCTTCGAGTAGGTAGGTTTGGATGTTGTCTAGCTCCTTTCTAGCACCGTTGGCCTCTCGCTTATCGCCCACCCACCAATATACCATGTCATCCCGGTAGGAATAATGTCGATCGAGAGAGACGAGCGGATCCGTGAATGAAACATCACTCAAGAATAAACTTCAATCTGTCCTGTCGGAAACCCTGGTAGTGGGAAGCTAACAGGTGGGCCGAACTTAGTCCACTGGGCAAGTCATCGGGTATTTTGGGTTTCCGAACGGAAACTATGTACCGCTATGGTGACTGGAATGTATTCTATGAGTGAGTACTGTTTTGTTATTTTATCATAGCATCATTTTGAAGATGAACTGACTATTGGCCACTAAAGCATGTTACCAAATGAGCTCACTTCCCATAAATTGTACTGCTTTCAATCTCCAGTAGGGAATTCTCCGGGGTGTTTTTAGAAAACCCAAGCATCACATCGATAAAATTGCGACTAATAGAAACAAAGAGCAATGAATGAGCACTTGAGTGACTTTGAAATTTATATATTAACCAAGCCGACTATTTTATGAATCACTTGACTACAGCCATTTCATTTCCAAATGCACAACTAAAGAGACCGAAACGTAAGACCTAGACCCTGATCTCCGTCTCCAAGTATGTTTCAATTTAACACCCCCTAGCAAGTCGTAGCGTCACCCAATCCCAAGCTAACAGCAGCAAGCAAAAACTCCATGTAACCAGCTCCAATCTCTTGCAAATTGTAGTTATGCTGAGCTTGGGTGGGGTAAAATGGACAACTAGATGCCGAGTTTCCAAATCCAAATTCAATAGTATAACCATGGATAAGATTCTTGGTCGTATCAGCAAAATGTCTGGAGTAAGAATAATCATCACTAGCGCCGCTAGTTGGATATAATGCCGCAGCTGGGATAACAGAGTATGTGCGTCCAGCAGCGGCACTCATACCTGCACCGATCTTTGTAGCAGCAGCTTTGTTCGCGGTAGCTTCGGCTGTAGGTGAGTATTCACCGTAGCCGGAACCAGAACCAGGAGTATCAGATACGATTCCGCGGACTGAGTTATAGGCCGTGTTGAGGAAATTCATGGTGGGGTAGGAGGCTTGGTTTGTGTCACTTCCCCAGGAGTAGAGAACGTCACCGGTGTAAGAGTGAAGATCGATGAACCAGCGAACTTTGGAGTAGGTGTCCATTACCCATTTGATGCTTTTGGTTTCTGGTTCTGAGAAAGCGGCGGTACCTATAGAGTGAGACTGGTTAGAGTTGGCTTGAACCAGGAATAGAGAAGTGTAAGTACATACCATGAAACACTTCAGAAGAAGGACTGGAAGATGCAACATCACTTCGAACGCTTGAAGCCCACTTGGTCAAATCCCATACAAAGTCAAAGTTACGGTTCAAATCCACACCAGCAGAAGTACCAGTTCCCGATGCTGGGTTTCGGTTCTTACGCCAGCAGCTGTTGGTGGACTGATCATAAGCAACACCATCAGGGTTACTAAGCGGAATAAACACAATTCCTGTCGATAAGGCAGTCTTCACCTGAGCATTGGTATAAGACTTTGAACCGAATTTCAAACCGAGACCATTCTTGTTTGCATACAAGAGATCACTAATAAAGAACAACAAGCCATCAGAAGAACCTCGCTCTCTTGCGTGAATCGCTGCATTCAAATACACGCGAATTGCATCATCACATGTTCCATTACCTCCAACTTTAGCGCCAGTAATGGAAGCACCATTATATGTTTTGTATGGGGTGGTGAAAGTGGTGATACCGTATACAGTCGCAAGAGCTTTGAGTCCACTTGAGATCTCGTTGACGTTCAAGAGTGTGGTAAAAGTGGTGGTTTGAGATCCCACACCTCGTGGTGCAATAGTACCAGCGCTGTAGCGATCACCAGTTCCGATTGGTACGCCGTTACTAGTTTGACGACGAACGACTCTTGGTTTTCCTTCCCGTTCTTCTGGGAGAAGACATCCCTGAGAAAAAATGGGAGCGAGAGCCGCGATGTAATACAATGATGTGAGCTTCATGGTGGCAGTTGAGGAGTAAGAAACTGATCAAAAAACTCCACGTAGACCATGATGCTCAAGTATATATATATGTATCAATATTGTGGCTTTTCCATTCACTGTTTCTCCTCAACTCTGCCTTGTAGCTTCCCCTCGGTCGCAAATAGGTATGTGAAAGGAGTTCTTCAAGATTGTGAACCACTTGGCAAGCTTGGCCATCTTGGCTGTATATATACAAACCTCTACCTTCTCTTTCGAGAAGCTCATCTAGTACCTGAAAATTCTATTCTTAAAACGAAAAACAACATTTAGGAAGGTTGAGAATGAATGACACATCAGCTTCAGATAACAAAAACCACTTGAGTATCTGCAATCCAAATGCCGCGATACCAAGCCCGGCATTCAGGAAGCTGGAACCTTCAGCGGCTGATCACGAGTGAAAGAAAATGGCAGCATATCTGTAAGTTGAAGTTAGGCGTACCAAGCCCGGTGTACAGGAAGCTGAGAGCATGATAACGTTGGGACCTGCCACATTAGGTTGGTGCGCCAAGATGAATACCTGGGCAAAAATGAAGTTCGAGATGCAAATTCCAAAGATTCAAGGAACATCAGTCTATCCACCATAAAAGGCATACAAACGTGGCTCCCTTTATTATCACCGATACATATCGGTCTCCAAAATGGAAGTTCAATCCAAAGGTTGTTTTTGTTTTTGTCAATCTACTCGCGCTTTACATCGGGGATCGGAGTCGCGACTTAATTGACCAATTAGAAAGCAACGTAAATTTGAGCACTCATAAACCGGCGAATTACGACACTCTGCGCGACTCTATGATTTATCCGCTATGACTCAGTACAATTTATCAAGGGGCAGTGTAATGTAATATCAATAACAGTTCGTTGTATAGAACGATTATCTATGCGCTATTAGCTTTGGGATTTTTGAAACCACCCAGTACACTCCTTTCTCTTGACACGCTGATCACAGCCTCAAGTTTTGGATGAGCATTCTGATATCATGCATACCCTAAAGCAAATGCAGAAACCAAAAAGAGAAAGACTAAAAACATATATCTATTCGTTATTTGCTAGTCGTCTCTATCGCTTTTTGGTATACGCTATTGTACTAATACAAGTACTCAGTCTAATGACTTCTGCATAATCGCGCTGATGTTAATGCAGTAAAACTCCAGTAGCCCATTCTATCCATTCCAGACATTGAATATCATTTAATCCCTCTAAAGCCCATGTATAAGAACCACTTCTAGGTCTCCTTAGCATTCTTAGCCTCCTCTTGAGTTTCCCGCGCCGAGTAAAATCTCTCCGGTCCCGGACGCGAATGAGCCCCTACAGCCGAAAGACTTGGACACACATGATTAACACCGTCCAGTCCATCCAAGTTCATCGTCGTCCTCAGCTTTCCCGGAATCTCTTTGCCCCTGCCACCCATCTGAGGTGTATCTAGCATGTCCAATCCTCCTTGTCCTTCAGTTTCGCTTACTCCATCCGCTAGACTATACGCAGGGGAACTTTCGGGCCCAACACCATTCTCCCCCGCACTCAAATGCATGTTCTCCTTCCCCTTTCCTTCGTCCTCTGTAATCCTCACTGTTACATAATCCTCTACTTCGTCATCGTACTTGCGCTCATATCCTTCTGGAACCACGCTCCTGACACTACCAACCAGTGATTCTGTACTGGCATTAGCATCTCTCCCCATTTTACCATTGCGCGCATTTCTCTCCCGAACACCATCTTTCATAACCCCATCTACCCCCTCCCCACCCATGCGCATGGAAAAGGGGAAAGCTATACCTTGTGCTGTAGGTCTTCTCATTTCCTCCCCATTACTAGTGTATCTCACCACTCCCTCTTCATTGTCAACTCCAATAATCGGTTGGCTTATTGTTATTCCTGTTACATCTTTTTTTCCTCCAACTTCATTGACTTCTTCCGCAGGAGCTCTTGACGTCAAAGTCGAGTTTGGAATTGGTTCTTCAACCTGATTACTAGCACGTTTCTTCGTAGGGAAAAGAGGATCATCGACAGTCCTCATTGACTGTTGCATATCAGAATAGGTGGTCAAAAATTCTCCATCAATTTCCCCGCCCGATTTTCTTTTCATATCAGCTTTCTCATCCGGTATATCAGCGATCCCGCTCCTATCCACCTTCATCTCAGTAGATCCCGCTCTAGTCTCTGTCGGCGGTTTGATAGGCGGATCTACCTCATGGGCTCCTAAGATGGGCTCTATATAAGCCCTACCGGCCTCATGAGCAAGGGTATCATTCGTCTCTCTACTGTGTATGTCCCTGGCCCCCGCCCCTTGTTCTGCACTCGCAGTCGTAGTCTCGACATTTTTACCCGCTTTTTCTGCTTCAATTCCGCGATCTATGGTAAGTTCATCATGTTTACTACCCCATCCACTCCATTTTGATAATCCCCAACTCTTCTTTTGCTTGCCCCCACTTTCCCTGTCTATTTCGACACCAACCATTCTACGCCCGGCTAATGCACTAGGAGGAGGCATTTCTGGTACTTGTTGTAGATCTAGAAATTTTTCATATCCTTTTGCAATTTCCTTTGCCCTATTCTTTTGTATCTTTCGCTTATCCTTGGCGTATTTCGTATCGAATTTTGTTTTTACAGCCATCCATTTCTTGACTGGCCCAGGTTTGACGACACCGACATCATTGGGTGAGATATTACAAGCGGGAAGTTTATCGGCTGGGTCAAGGGGAAATATGTTGCCATGACGGTCGACACGTTGACGGATCATATGATCTATGAAGGGAGGGAGGGGATCGCCTGCCTTGCCTATTGTTCCTATGGATCCTGATATTCCCTCGGTAGATCCAGGTGTTTCCTAGTTTTTGTCAGTCCAGCTAATTCAAATGTGAAAGAATTGATATAGGAAAAGTACCTTTTGAGCATCCTCGCCCGAGTCTGAAGACTTTGAGATGACCGAAATGTCATCATCATCTAGTATCTCAATCCCTGTTTGCTGAGCTTTGGCTAGAGCCCAAGCTCCAAACTGTGCTATTGATCGATACATATGTTTAGCTGGTCGTGTAAAGCTCAATGTTGGTGGAACGTGGCATAAATCATCCCAAACTTGTAATTGTACATCCGTTGGTGCCCACTTGTCCCATGCCTCTAGACGAGACTTTGAATCACAATACGCATCCCCGGGTGTATACCGAACTGGATTGGCAGCTTTGTGTGCAATGTAAATTTGTTCATCCCGTAGCATCTCGCCACCGCCTGTGAGAACGAGAAGTGGTGGAAGACCACCAAGTGAAGTTTGAAGAACCGGAGACACCAGAGGATGTGATAATAGCTGGTTTGTGGTATACATTTGAATTTGGTCTTTTATCACAACTAGCTTTCCATCAATCATGACTGAAAGATCATATCCAGGTCTGGGAATTGGACTTTCCAATGGCCCTTCATCTTTGTTAGATGAAGGTTCAGTAGCAGCAGCAACATTATTATGCGTCTCTGGTGATGGGATAGCATCAGAAGTGAATCCCCGAACTGCATCCTTTTCCGCTTGTTTAGATGTAGCCTTGCGTTCTTTCTTTGAAGTATTGTTAGAAACCCCTCTTTTTATATCCGCCAAATCATCTGCGTTTGGAGGTGGCCAGGCTGGAGATGGTCGGTGGTGAAATCCATGCGGTGGGATATAATCCAGAGGGTTATCTGCAGCAACGCTCGGAAAAGAATGAGTCAAATCGACCCATGGTGAAATAAGAATAGCACCCGCAGGTAAAGGTAAACCATTATCACGCAGAATGACAAGCATACTCAATACCATACCACCACCTGCTGAATCCCCTGCAAAGATAATACTGGATGGTTGCAAATCATCAAGAAGACTGAGATACACTGCTAAGCAATCGTTAAGACCACATGGAAATGGGAATTGAGGTGCCAAACGATATCTAGGTGCTACGACCACGGCCTTCAACTTCCTGGCATGTCTTTGCATCTGATATCTATGTTCATCCGTACTTCCGAAAAAGTAAGCGCCTCCATGGACATACAGCATGACCCTCTTGGGATCTTCTCCCTTCTGATTCCTTTCGTCAAGATCTGCCTTCATCTCGATCGTTTCCGACTTGAGTTCACTCCCTGGTCGCCTCCATTTCCACCATTGATGTCCCCCTACGATCCCAATCCCTCCCTGTTTCTCCAATTGAATCGACAAATACTTTTCTGCTTCGTGTATATGCTTCTCTGCAATGGTTGTTTCCCTCACGCTAATGTAAGGAGGGTGAGGTACCCATTGCGAGGTGAAGGCTTGAATATCTTCGACTGTATGTTGAGATGCATAAAGCAGAAATTTGCGGATTAAGTGAAGACCTTCGTCATAGGAGATATGTGCAGTAGGTTTTTGCTTTTTAGTTGACCGATCTCCGAGATACTGCGAAATGATTTCTTAGAGAGTTAAATAAATGTACAGGAGGGGGAAACTTACGTGAGCAACAAATGTTTGGAATACAACAGGAGCAACTGCCGTCCCGACTGAAAGTGTACTAAGCCCCATAGTTGCTGGACTTTGCGAGGTTGAGATTCGGTATTGTTGTTTGTGATATAGTCTCGAATCAAATTAAGTGGTATTTCTTTCGCAAGTCCTCGTATCTTCGATCCCTTTGAACCAAATTGCAGATCAGGTTTCCAACTCCTCACTCTCAACCACACAGAATCTTCTTCCACAAACGAATGAGCGTCCTAATTAGCTGTGTATGTATGTTGAAGAACAAAAAGAAGATCCAAGATCTCCCCGTCAACAACAATAAACATAAGACCTTTGTTAACAATAGTCTCTGTTCCCTGGGACGTGAACCCCTTTCTTTCACTCTACACGTCTCAAACACAACACGACAAAGTAACGAATAATGCGTAAGATATATTCGAAAAAGGAGAGGCAATTAATCAACAATTGCTGTGCGAATAATACTTTATACAAATAAAGGATGTGAATACGAAATTGAAAACAAAACTGCCACCAAGTGAACCTACCTTATCTTATTACCTTCTTGGCCAAATTGCATACCCAGCCGCTGTCGCACGCTCCTTCTTATGTACACGGTACATACTTGGGTAGATTAACGTCATAGGCGGCGTCCTCGGCTCTTTTTTGTAATGGGGATTTTCGTACTCGTACATTGGAGCTGATGAACACGAGTGATTTCTTTTCCAGCGTTCTTTTCCAGCGTTGTGAATGGTTGTCCAGGTGGAGAGATCAGATCCTTGATGCATACATAAATTTTAAGGTTTAGCGTAGCACAAATTATGCTGGGGATAAAAAATTGTTAATTTTGCGATTGAAGGTTACCCCGCGATAATAGTATTTGGATTTCTTGTCGCAAACAACCTCGAGGTTATAATATTCAAGAAAGAACTGGGAAAGAAGAGTCGCAAGAGAAGAGAGAATACAGATTAAGAGATAGAGAAAGAAAAAAGAAAGAAAGGAAACATTATGGCTTCTTCACAATCAAATGGAGGAAACGGAGTATACTCTCCTGGTATGTTATTTTCTCTCTTTCTCCCTACTCAATTGCATACCTCACCTACATACACCCTGTTCATTCACCCCTCGCATATGCATACACATATGGATATGCCTGATTTCAATGGCAAAATACTAAACTCCTTTTCTAGAACTCCGTCTCAAAACCTTTCAACGCAGCATCGTCCTCTCCATCTTCCTTTGGCCTTCCCTCTCCCTCGCCGTAACATCCCTCTGGGGAGGTCCTGAGTCCGCCGATAAACGCGAATATATAGCCGGTACCCTCATCGATCTTCTCTCCGAAGACGAAAACAAGGATGTAGAAGCAGACTGGATCGAGACAATCCTGCTACAGTTCATGTCTGATGAATTCGAAGTAAACGTTGACGATGGAAGCGCCATGGAAGTTGCCAATGGTATTGTTAAATGTCGAGAGGAATGTAAGAGGGGTGCTTGGGAGGAGGAAAGCAGTTTGTGCAGGAAATTGGAGAAGGCATGGGAGACGAAGGGAGGAAAGAGTGACAGTCTAGCACAGTTCCAGCAAGGAGAGGACCAAGGAGAAACGGATTCGGAAGCGAGTGGGGATGATGATGAGGATGGAGATGTGGATATGGATGAGGCGCCACAATTGGTGAGAGTTAAGGAACCAGTTGTGCCTCAGGTGGATGAGGATGGGTTTACTATGGTTACCAAGAAGAGAAGATGAAGTAGGCAAGAAAACAAGAAGAAATAGAGAGAGAGGAGGTGTAGGGGGTGTTGAAGTTCTGCAGATGTTCATGAAATGACGAGGCCTGACTGGCCAATGGGCAGTCTAATTGGAATACAAGTGGAACATCCTGAGATTCTCATTCTCTTGAGGATTCTGGAGCTGACGGATCACGATGAAGATGAATTCGCGGAGGTGACGAGGGATAGACTTCAGAGGTCGCATACAATTCGAATATATAAGCAAGTCCATTTGAAGAAGATGGATAGTTCTATCAAAATCTAGCGTCATTAACTATGTGGAAGGTTTTCTCAATCTCATTAGCTCGAAGGACCTCAATGCCTCAGCACGAATGAGACCTACAACGAAGTTCCTTGGGAAGCGATTTTCAACCTCTTCATTTCATATTGGGCAATTCAAGTGAGCACAGCTGCTTGAACGAGGGTTTATATAGATCTTAGCCTTGAAATGTTCAATGCGAATACCACCAAACTAGCTAGAGAATCCAATGAAAAATATCACTCCATTCGCTTCTTAGTAATCCTAGTTCTACCCTGGTGAGCTGATAGATACCTATATGCCAATCATCTCTTCATGGATATTTGATACTTGTACCCAGCAGTCTCATATCACAAACTGCATCATCCGTTAGCATACCAATGATACATCTCTTCGTCGATCCTATCCAGCAATCAAGACTGCACGCATACCCAAAATCCCCCATCTCCTTTCCCTTCCTTCCTCCATGCTTCAAGTACCAGAAACTTCTACACCTAATTACTGTGATGAGCTGATTAGTGTGTACGGGGAATGAAACTAAGTATTAAATTGCGAACACCCAAAAGTCAAAATCACATTTCAAATTTTAAACCTTGAATCTCTCAATCTTCAACAGTAATGAATAAGGAGTATGGAAAACCCCCTATTAAGCCTTCCTACCACTACGAGAAGAGTATATATATATATATATATATATATTGTATATGTTTCTAGTTCCAATTTCCCACTTTCTACACATCTCGGTAGCAAAAGGGCCATCTCACAATGAAAAGAAACACACTCTTCACAGACAATCTCTAGAGTCCAAATCACCGTCCGCATTCCCTTCTCCCCCCTTCCCCTTCTACATCTTCTCAATCTCTCGCAAAACCATCTAGTAAAACACCCATTCACAACCCCTCTCATGAATCCCCAAGATCCCAAATACACACCTAATAATAGACCCTTCATCTCCCTCACTTCTCACTCCTCACAACCTCGACCTAGCCCACCCATCCCATCCACACTAACTATTCTATCCTATTTCTCCAACCCCAAACTCCAAATATCAAACTTCCTCTTCCTATTCCTAATATCTATCAATATACATCCATATCTATCTACATTCAGCCCAAATAATCCAATTTAACCTAAATCCCTATCTCCATCCCCATCCCCATCTCCAACTTCACACTAATCTCCCCATTCCCCTTATTCCCCCATTCAAAACCTTATCTACCCACACTATCAAATAACTATCCAACTCCCCAACTCCCAACCCACACACAATCTCACCTCAAACACCAAAACAATTCTAAACCCTTAAAATTTCAAGGTATCCACAGATGCGAAGTATACGATACACATATCCAAAAGCACCATAATCAAGAAATATACATGTAAGAAATTGACGATTTGGAGAGTATACTTCCTTACACAAAGCATATACTATCTATACCTATACCTATACCTATACCTATAGACTCAAACTTAAAATGTCTATGATGGATTCACAACAGACGATGCCGCCTGGATAGACTGCCGAGTCAAATGTCTTTGAGAGGCAAACGAGGATTCATACCCACACAAACAATGTAAACTCAATCCACATCACGAGATGAAACGTATCAGAATTACCAATCAATGAAGAAATATGATCTATTGCCTATAGGTCTGACGACCTAATGCGGATATCTGTAAGCATTGCAGTAGCAATAGCAATAGCAAAGAAAGGCACAGGAAATGCATCTTTCAATGAAAGAGGTCGCTAAGAACATAACAAAAAAAGAGAAATCCAATCCCAAAACTCCTCATGTCAAATCATCCACAACGCCTGTGCCATCATCAAGATGTGTTCAATTCCCTTACCACACTTAAAACATCTATTCCCAATCCTCCTCCTCGCTGTCGTCATCATCGTCGCTCTCGTCCTTCTTTGCACCTGCACCTGTAGCCTTTTCCTTTGGACTGTTGGGAGCCCGACTAGGAGCTCCCGATGCCGCACCTACAACATCATAACTACCATCGCTATCCGCTTGAGATTTTTCATCGTTGGATTTTCTTGGTTCAGTGGGTTTGAGAGTTGGAGTTGGAGATGCAGCAGTGGACTTCTCTTTATCTTGTGTTGCGGGATGTAAAGTGATAGAGGATTCGGCAGAAGCTGGTCTATCGGAGGTTGTCTTGACTTTCGCAGTTTTGTCATCTTCATCTTCAGATTCATCGTCATCGGAGTCCTCTTCTTCTGAGTCGTCGTCGGAATCGGATGTCCACTTTACATCTTCTTCTTGTTCGGTTGCCGCAGCGCCTATTTATTTTATCGTTAATGCGTGTTTCTTATACGTTATGGGATAACATGAGTCATTATACCTTTGAGTAAATCTCTCCTTTTAGCTTCGGCCGTTTCAATACTGTGACGAAGGAAATAGTATCGCTTGAAGAAATCCTCATATTTGACCTTGTCTGGTACCAGTTTTTCCATTGAACTTCTCAACTCTTCATATTTTTCCAAATCCTTAGCAATATCATCCGTCTTCTTGTCAACACTGAAAGTCTTAGCCCATGGTTCGAATTCCTCGCTGATTGGATCGGTGGTGAAGCTATCAAGTGTAGAATGAATAACGTGAAGTTGGGCATCGAATCGTGTAGTATGGATAACTCTTTTCCCTTGAGAATCCTTACTCTCAAATAGGACGGCATTGACCTGTCCATCTGCATTCGAAGTAGGTGGTGCAATGCTAACAGCATCTTTCAAGAAGTTTCGAATGTTGGTTCCAAACTTTAGGAGTGCTTCATCTGCTGCATCTTCCGCCTTTTGAATCTCTACTAATCTCTTCGCAGCCTCGGTCTTCAATCTTGCTAAAACACCTTCCGATTCCTTTAATGCCTCATCTGTCGTAAGATCTTTCGAAGTTGACTCCCCATCTTTGCTGGTAGATCCACCTGCTGCCGCCTTCTCATCCTCTTGAGCTTGTGTAATCGTAAGTCCTCGTGTGCGACTAATGATTGAAGATCTTAGGTCGGTGAATCCCTTGGTAGCTTCCTCACTAACAGTATTGAACTCCTGTTGAGCCTCTTTATAGACATTCTCGCCCTATAGATCAAACAGATATGTTCAGCCAAAATACTCATATGTTTACCGACCATCATCTCTTACCTGTTTGACGACACTTCCAAAGAATCCACCTAATTTCGCACCCCAAGGACTAGAAGAGATAGCTTTATATGCTTCTTGGAAATCGGCATTGAGAGTTGGGGCAGGCTGTGTTGATTTCTCCTTATTCTGATCGGGTTGGAGAGCTTCTTCTTGGATATGATCATATGCGAGATCCATCTTGACAGGATGACAGGCGGTATGATTCTGTATAAATTCAAAAGTTCATAGGGAGTTTATCAAATTGTTTACGCATGGAATAATACTCCATAGGGTGGAGCAATAGTACGTTGTGATTGATCTGCAAGCAGAGCGGAACCTCGCATATCATTCGATAATAATATCCCGCTCGCTTTCAAGCCTCACCTGATCTGTGGCTGAAATGGCACACTAGCCACAAAGTCATGTGCAATTTGTCTTATCTTTTGGTTACGCAAATATGTAGATTCTAGAGATCGTTTCACAGGTTGAGACAATTTGTGAATGACAGGTCAAAAGGGTCGATTAGTGATCCCCTCCTATCCGGCGAATGATTGTCAAAAGCGAATTTCGGGGTCCTTTCGAAAAGGCTATGTACCTACCTAGGTACACACATTTCCCTTGGCCTCGGTAGTGGCATCCGGCAACTTGGATCTTGCATTGATTTCTTGTATTATGCTCTATGGGTGGAGTTTCGAGGTGAATAGCGGTAGCTCCTCAGATGGACATCTGCTAAAGACAAGACTACACCCAGGTAGCCAGGTAGAAAGCCCGCAGCATGGGAGCCCCCGAAAAAGGTACAAGTTAGGTGTTAGATAAGAGTAGTGCATATGCAAAGCTGGGATAGAAACTTCAACGTCTCATCCATTGATTTGTTCAAAGTCTAAGACGCCAATATCGAAGGCAGCATACGAGTATCTAATCTCACCACTTGCGTCATTTATGCTGTTGACTCATACCTAGGTACAGTAGACGTAGACACAATGGACACAGTATTGCTCTGTGCAGAAAAGATGGACAAATCATCTAACTGCTATGGTAGAACTGCGAGATCCATGCTTCCATTTCCATGGGGAGTTCTCTACTCGTCTGCTCGTCCAGCAATGCTAGTACTCAAGAGTCGAGACCAACACATTCGCACTCTAAAATGCTGCACAATAAACAGCCAAGCATGAACGAATGTGTACTGTTAATACCTAGATAGTCCCTATACACGCCAAATCTTGTGCAAAAAGACAAGAAACCTTAATCTGATTGGCAGGATATACTCGCTCGTATCGCAAAAAGAAGACAATCTTTCTCCTTTGTGTACATCGTACACTTTCTCGAGACTGTACCTACGAGTCTTCACCCCATGAGTTACCCAATATGTACTGGTGTGAAGACTTTGATTTCCCATCTTGAACGAGTTGAGCATCACATAAAAGGGGACTAGATCGCATCCGGATTTAGCGGACTTTTCAAATTTTGCTGCTGAGAAATCAAAAAACTCAAAAAATCACTGCCCCTCTAGAATCCCTGGAATCTTGAAGAATCATTCGAGGAAGGGGGAAATGGAGTAATGAATCTGTCCATCTGCCCAAAAACCGTAAAATCAGCTGGGTAGAAGTTT